ATAAAAACAGAAAAAAGTCACAAGTGTTGAACTGTGCTCATGCCATTGATGATCAGACTACCGAAGGATATGTATACAGTCTATCAAAACGAAATAAAATATGAACTTTTCGTGACCTTTATAGAATAACATATATCATATATATAAATCATTATGTCTTGCGAGGGTGAGGGGTGAGGGTGAGGGGGTGAGTAGAACAGACGACAAAAGTATATAGATATTCGAAAGGAAAGTTTATCGACTGGAAACAGCAAGATGCACAGTGCAAAATGTATCTACTTGTTGAACGGCGTTGATGGTACAATAGATAAAACCATTACTGTCTATGATGAGACAGAATCAAAGGTCGAATCCTCGTCCGCGCGATAATTTTTTCGAATTTTTTAATGCGACCCGGATTTAATTTTCGGAAGTACCCCGCACTAAAAATCATGGACCCATAGGCAATCGACCATGCTGATTCCGAATATCGCATTCCTCTGGACTCCAATCGCGTTTCAATATTTCGAAGTCCGGTGATATGAATCTCAAAGAACTTTACTAAAAGTTCAACGCCAGTAAAGAAACCCACAAAAAAAGACTATGTTTTTCTTGAGTAATTTTGCTATAACTCAACAACGTGTTTGATTGTCTTGAGTGCTCGTAATCAATATTTAAGGCCCCCGCCCCCCTCGTCAAAATGGTGATTTTTGGTCAAAAAATTGGTTTTGAGATACGCACATGGAAAGATAGCCTGAAGTATCTACTTCGAGAATCTGTATTGCTTTTGGTTACAAAACTAGTTTTTCGGGGATTTTGAGCAAGTTTTGTAAGAACCTCGAAAAAACGGGTCTTCAAATAATGGGTTTTTCCTGGATACTTATGAAATTAAAATTTTTCTGAAAACACAGCTTTGTAGAGCAAACGTTTCTGATCAAAATAAGACCTCGCACAACCCTGTATGATCTTGCATCAAAAAGTTACAGACATTTCCCTAGAAGTCCTAAAATCGAGTATCTCATACAGCGTTTAATACAGCGTTTTCACTATATAAGAGTTACACCTGAACGGCGTCCCAAGATTTTTAATAGCGGTTTCTCGTAGAGAGTTCATTCTTTAAAAGTTCATTCTTTGTTTAAAAGAGGAAAAGAAACTACATCGACTGACCGGCGTCGATTTTTGAATTAGGTCTTAGTTTTTTGTTAAACTAAGGATTTTTAGAAAATCCGGAAGGCTTTTTCGGGTTTCGGAGGTTGTTGGTTGCCTAGAAAACCAATAAAGGCTTAATTGAAAAATCGGCGCCGGTCAGTCGATGTAGTTAGGTATCTAGTTTAAAATAAAACAAATCCGAACTCTCCAGTTTGAAGTATATTAAAAAATCTTGGAACGCCGTTCAGGGTCCTTTTTGGACCTTGATCTCTGGAAAACTCCTAAAGCGTAACACTTGGAGACAAAAAAAATTTTTTATTCCCGTAACTCATTGTGCCGAACATTTACGGAAAGTTTTGTCGAGATCGGATGTAAGGTGTCGGAGATAATTTCTGAGGGGGGGGGGGGGCCCCGAATGAACCATAATTTTTTTGCGATTTTATTGTTTTGAATATATTTTTTGNCCCCCCCCCCCCCCCCCCCCCCCCCCCCCCCCCCCCCCCCCCCCCCCCCCCCCCCCCCCCCCCCCCCCCCCCCCCCCCCCCCCCCCCCCCCCCCTTAATCTAACATAAATATATTCCGAATATATTCTTTTTCAAATATTTGTGGTGTACATTGCTCTTCATTAAGAAGTTGTATAATTGATTCATAGCCAATAGAATTACCACTGCTGATTTTTGATTGTAAAATAAAAATACCATTTGTTTTATAAGCACTATACAGTAATTTTTTATCATGAGCTGCTGAACGATTAAAATGATATGAATTAAATAATTGCATAAAAAACATGTATAATATTTTTTTTACATTTTCTAAATCAGTTAATAGAATGATGTGTTAATGATAACATAAAATGATTTATTAATGTATACGTTTGATCATTTTCAGATGATACCTTTAACCCTTTACACCCTAAGACACTTTTATTATAGCTGCCGATGAACTACTGCATTAAAGCTTACAGTTCTTCGATACATCCTTGTTATATCGAGACTTAAGTGGTGCTGCTTTGCCGCCTGGATACATGATGTCCCTTGGAAGGGACATTCGGGTGTAACGGCATGGATTTTGTATTTTTTTGATTGTTATTCCGAACTTTCTTTTTTACTCTAGTATATTACTATGAGTTTCTTTTCAATTCTTTACTCACTGAAAAATGTTTCCATAGAAACAAACGTTCAGACGCATTTTTCTTGAATTTTTCCAAAAAGGTCGTGCCCGAACGCGTTTTCCGAATCAAAATGGCCCTAAGGGCGCTTATAAACGAGCTTTTTTTTATCTCAATGAAAGAAAAGTATGTTCGGACGCATCTTGTTTTTTAAAAAACTGAAGG